TCTGTATGAGTGTATATGCGTGACATTACTCTTTCAATTTGATGGGTAAAATTTGTTGGAGGCATTCGCACCTCATTATTTTCTGTTCATGATATGTTATGCTATAAAAACGATGATGATGATGATGGTGATGACGATGAAGAAGATGATAACGTTGATGATAGAGAATGAATGAAACCTTTTAGTTTCAGCTCGCTGGCCCAGCCATCTTACAAACTCAATCATTCGTTCGTCAAACTTGAAATCTGTAATCATTATTATCATCGTTATCATCATCGACATCACCATAGTCATCATCATCATCATCGTCATCATCATCATCGTCATCATCATCATCGTCACCGACCTTTCAATTGACCAATCAGGTTGTGCCGGATGATAGCCCTCCAATCATCATCCTCTCTACCCATTGGGCACCAGATTTCAGTGAAACGATTCCTCAAAGCTGGAGATAACTGATGATGATGATTGTGGTGATGGTGATTGTGACAATGATGATGGTGATGATGATAGCGTTAGTGATGATTACGACGATGATGATAAAAAGATGTTAGCTCAACCTCTTTCTTTCCGAAATCTCCGCCGGGATTCATCGTGGCAACCAATCGAAATCCTTCACTGGCAATAATCTCTTCCGATTGGTCGAAATCTCCGCAGGCTCCTCCTCTTTCGACCAGTAGGAGCTTGCGTTCAGGCTCTAAAACGCTATTGAGGCGTTCGATGACTGAATCGTCAGCCAATGAGATTTCGTCTATTAGGAATGTCGTGCCCAGTTTCATGGCCTGGACCAGAGGACCATCTGCCCACTCGAAAAGTTGTGCAGGGTTGTCTGGAGTCTTGAGTGGTGAAAGGGGTGGTGGAGGTCGTGGTGGGTGGTTCAATAATTTAAACATTTGTCTGGTTGCATCGATTGTATTGCAATTATGTGAATCGGTTATATCTTTCTTATCATCATCGTCCTCATAGTCATCGTCACAATCATCATCATCGTCATCATCACAACCACCACTAGCATCATCATCATCATCATGATCGATACTAACTCTATGCCGAACTGGCCTGAGGCCGCCCAAGAAGTCGCTGGCTTCCGTGTGCAGATGACAGTTTAGTGACAAGAGCTGGGAGCTGCGGACTTTCGATATCATCTGACACACCGTGGTCTTCCCGCAGCTAAAAATAGAAACACAGCGATGATAATGATGACAGTGATGACGACGATGATGATAGGTCACAACAAAGACAAAAAATTAATGACGTCACTGAACTGACCCGGTTTCTCCGACCAATAGGAGAGGCTCTTTAAACTTGATGCCGTACCACACCAAGGTCGCCATTCTCATCATCGTTTTCGTCATGACCACGTGCTCAAATCCAGGAATTCCCGTAGGTTTTTCCAGATTGTTTTTGCTTTCTATTTTTAGATCGGCGTTAGACGCGGCTGATGTTTTAATTTTATTCTGTTTTCTCATTTTCTTCTTCTCCAACCTTCTTCTCTTCCTCGCGTTTGTCGTTGATTGGATAAGAGCCTCGTAATCATCATCATCATCATCACCATTACCTACGAAATCATCATCATCATCACCATCAAACAACAATAATAACAATCATTATTCTTTACCAGAAGTTTCAAAATGGCGAAAATTTAATTAGTATCAACCGTTATTTTTAGTATTCTCAATGAGGGAATTCTCTGAACTCTGATTGGCTGGCAGTTGAAAGGGCAACGACCAATACAATTTCTCGATGCATATTTTACGCTTCAGGTGCTCTTCAAGGACCTGTATGATTTCCTCTTCTTCACTTTCCTGCCTGACTCTTCCAGCCAATAGCATGAAGCCTTCGAGAACGGATGAATGATTGAACGAACGAACGAACGAATGAACGAACGAATGATTAAATGGATAAATAAATGAAAGAATGAAACAGTAAATAATAGACTGAACGATAAAAAATAAATGAACCAACAGAAAAAAAGAAACAACGAACCATGATCGGCCAGCAGCTGGTCCCAATCCACTAACACACAACCACCACCACCACCACCATTATTGTTATTATTATTATTATTATTATTGTGATTTTCCAACTCCCATGTGGCCATTTTGTACCTTTCAACCCATCGAAAGAGCTCTCTGAGGGTTATGAAACCGTGCTTGCCCGCGAATAAGCCAGAGTTTCGTCTGCGCCTCTGTTTTGTGTGTGTGTGAGTTTGTGTGTGTGTGCGTGAGTGTGTGTGATTTTTGTGTACATTTATATAGCGCCCTTCAATCGAAACAGGATTGTCTTCTTCTCAGAGCGTTTCACAATTAGGCAATAAAAAAAAAGATAATATATTCAAGAGGAGGATCTATTTCACCGTAATCATAGGACACACACACACGTACACACGCAAACTCTCACACACACACACACACATATACACACACACATGTACACATACATATACACTCACACACACACGTACATATACACACACGTACACACACACACGCACGCACACACGAACCTGCAAATCCAACATAACATTGACAAGTTTTTTAGCCTGACTGAGAGAAAGCTTGCCTTTGCGGTTCAGTATGGCCTCCAGTTCATCTGTGGGAAGATCCGTGAGGTGTAACTCTATGAACCTATTCCGAAACGCTCTGGAGAGGACCTGGTCATGATGATGGTAGTGGTGATGATGGTAGTGGTGATTGTTGTGGTGATGATGGTGATGATGGTGGTGGTTGTGATGATGATGGTGGTGGTGGTTGTGATGATGATGATGACGATGATGATGAATAAAAAGTTGACGGTGAGAATGATGATGAAGTCGAAGTTGTTACAAATGTAAACAGCAAATTAAAAATCATCATCATAACTAAGACCATCATTACCATCACAATCACAATCATCACCATCACAATCCTCATCATCATCATCACCTTTCTCCCGCCATAAAATCCGGGCGGGTTTTGAGTGGCAAAAAGGATGAACCTCGGATGAGCTCTGATGTTCTCTTGGGTTTCAGGAATGAACAATTCTCTATTATCGTCCAACAGCTGATGATGATGATGATGATGATTATGACGGTGGTGGTGATGTTGGTTGTGATGTTGGTGATGATTATGATGATGATTGCATTCATGATATTTGATGCCTCATATGATATGCATGCATCTTCACCAAAAACATAACTATCATCATCACCACCATCACCACCAAATCATCATCATCATTCCATCATCGTCATCACAACCACATCATCATCATCACTACCATATCATCATAATCACTACCACATTATCATCATCATCATCCTCATCATTCCATCGTCATCATCATCACTACCACATCATCATCAAGACTAACACATCATCATCATCATTCCATCATCATCATCACCATACCCTATTAAGTGCTTCTAGAACATCGGAAGGTGCGAGATTTAATTCGTCCAGAATTATCCAATAGCCTTTTCGCATGGCTTCCACAAGCACTCCTTTGAATGAATGAATGAACGAATGAATGAATGAATAAACAGATGAAGGAATGAATGAATGCGTAAATCAACACATCATACACCAGCATTTTAAACCGATGGTATAGCAGACCAGGCAGTCACTGACTACCCAGCTCTGCACTCGAAACCAAGCTCTGCGACACACCACACACACACAAGACCACAACAACACACACTACAACACACACCACACACACACCTCACACCACAAACATACACCCCACACACACACACCTCAACACAACACACACCCCACACACACACACACCACACACACACACATACACACACACATACACACACCAACGCAACCAACCTTCCTTGAAGAAGAGTTTGCCATCAACTCCAACCGTATACATTCCCAGATATTCCTGAATGTCCGTATGTTCGTGGTTGTTGATCCGGAAGCATTTATTCCCAGTCAGACTGGCCAGATACCTAATCAGACTCGTCTTCCCAACTGAAGTCTCACCCTGGAGTAACACTGGAAGGTTCCTGATGATGATGGTGGTGGTGGTGGTGATGATGGTGGTGATGATGGTGGTGAAGATGATGGTGGTGGTGATGGTGATGACAAAATTCTCAACAAATATTGTTGTTATAATTTAATTTAAAGACGACAATGACAACATTGAAAAACCAGCAAAGAGTGCAACAACAGCATTAAAATCTTTATTACCACCACCATCATCATCACCATCATCATCATCACCATCATTATCATCACTACACTCTACAACAGCGACATCATTATCAAAACCTGGCGGCCACAATTCGCGCCAAATCCCTGAGGTTATTGAGTACAGTTGGCGTCATGATGTAGTCGTCGTCGACGTGTGGCTTGTCGTCGCCACGTATGATGGTGTAGCCTGGCGATCAATCAATCAATCAATCAATCAATCGATCGATCGATCAATTCAATCCAATTCAATTCAAAAAATCTTTTATTCAGTAAGATACATTACAAGGGAGACCCGAAGTTTTCACTTGTTGGGCCACCCTATCATGAACGAAAGGAAAACTTGATTTGATCGAAGTGACGAAACGAACTAAACGAATGATAAAAAAAACTCAAAAAACAGAAAATAGAATTGCATAAGGTAGTTAATATAAAATTGGGAAATTTAGCTCTTAAACAATAAATTAGACCTAAATTCTTGGTAATTTTTTTCGAAATATATTAAATATATTCAAGCCACGATAAATTACTCGAGATAATAACGCCGAGGAATTTAATTGAGTGAACCCTGTAAATGTCATTCAATAAAATCTTAACATCCAAGATTCCAGTACGAATCCTGACTCCAAACGAAATGGAATAAGTTTTACTGAAGTTAATCCTCAAATTATTTGATTGCGCACAATTGCAAACATCAATCAGTTCATCATTAAAAATAGAAACCAATGGAAATAATATTTGAGTGAAGTAATAACAGAGTAAAGTCGCCAGCGAGAAGAATGGATTTTAAAATTTTAGACGAGTTTAAACAAACTCCTAAATGAAAATATTCAAAAGTAAAGGACCAAGAATGGAGCCTTGGGGAGCACCAGTTATAATAGGAGAAGGAAGAGATCTAGAGTTGCTAATTTGAACATATTGATGCCTATCATTCAAGTAAGAAGCAAACCACTTGTAAGCAGTACCTCTAGCACCATATCTAAACAACTTGATGAAGAGAGTCAAAAGCATTAGAAAAATCGAGAAACACGCCAATGCAAATTTTTTCAGATTCCATAGCTTCAGATATAAAGTTAACTGCATCAGCAGCAGCAGCAAATTCAGTAGAGAGATTTAGAACGAAAGCCATATTAATAGTAACTTAAAGAGCTATTGGAGCTTAAGAATTTTGTTAGTCTTGAAAGAATAATTTTTTCGATAAGTTCAGGTAGACTAGATCTAATAGGAATAAGACGATGGTTGTTAATGCCGTGAGGATTGGCAGATTTGAGCAGAGGTATAACTTTAGAGATTTAGCATTGATCCGTCTCTGTGTCGTTCTTTTCAGTAATTACATAGTTATTGACTTCACTGGCTAAATGTGAACGCTCCATGTTGAAACCCATGCAAGATTTTAAAACATTCCAATCACATCCACCATTCCTTTTGTGGTTTTTTTTTAAATAAATTATGATAATGCAGATTTTGAGAAACACGGCATAGTTTTACGATCAAATTTTTATATTTCACATATTATCAACTGGACCTAGACTTTGAAAATTTTTGTTATAACAAATTTTTATTTTTAGATGAGATGATGATAATGATGCCAAAAAACAAGGATGACGGTGATGATAATGATTACGATGATGAAGATGAAGTGAAATGATAGAGATAAGAATGGACTAAAATTAACCTTGGCACATAACAAAATGACCGTCCTTATCATCCTGACCAATCAGAGAAGGGGATGGCTTGGTATGCTCTGTGATTGGCGGCTTGTATATGTACTTTTTGATCAGGTCGATGACGATTGGATAAGATTTTCTGTCCAGCTGAGTCAAGAAACTCAGACAGAAGGACTGAATGAACGACGTTAATTTTTATTTTTTATTAATTCATTCATTCATTCATTTATTCATTCATTCGTCCATTCATTCATTCATTTATTCATTCATTCGTCCATTCATTCATTCATTTATTCATTCATTCGTCCATTCATTCATTCATTTATTCATTCATTCATTTATTCATTCATTCGTCCATTCATTCATTCATTTATTCATTCATTCGTCCATTCATTCATTCATTTATTCATTCGTCCATTCATTCGTCCATTCATTCATTCATTTATTCATTCATTCGTCCATTCATTCATTCGTCCATTCATTCATTCATTCATTCGTCCATTCATTCATTCATTTATTCATTCATTCGTCCATTCATTCATTCGTCCATTCATTCATTCATTCATTCGTCCATTCATTCATTCATTCATTCATTTGATCATCCAATCATCAATTCATTCATTCTTCCATTCGTTCGTTCCTTAAAAAAAATGGACCAATCACCTCATAGATAGATTTCATTTTCCCGCCAAAGTCAATTTTTCCCGCCAACCTGAGAGCCCGGCACAGGGTTCTCATGCTGTTGTAATAATAATAATAATAATAATAATAATAATAATAATAATAATAATAATAATAATAATAATAATAATAACAATAATAATATAATAATAATAATGATGATGATAATGATAATAACAACAATAATAATAACAATAATATAATAATAATATATGATAATAATAACAACTTTACCTAAAATATGGCTTATTGCCGACACCATCAGTCAGCTGCACTCTCGCCCTCCTCCTTATCTCCCCGTAAAACTTCACTATCCCTTCCATTACGGATAGACTGACGGAGCCCTGTAGGTATTCATTCACCAGGATGGTGAGATCGCGAGGACTGGTGAGTTCATCCACGTAGAATTCCGTGAACCTGGTGATGATGATGGTGGTGGTGATGATGATGATGGTGATGGTGGTGATCACCACATCATCATCACAACAACATCATCATCATCACAACAACAACATCATCATCACAACATCATCATCATCACAACAACAACATCATCATCACAACAACAACATCATCACAACAACAACATCATCATCACAACAACAACATCATCATCATCATCACCTCAACAACATCATCATCATAACCACCTGTTCCGGATGCCAACAGAAAGTTCCTTCTTACCCACATCAACAGCAGGATTCATGCAGGCAAAGATACGAAAATCCGCATGCCGTACTATCGGTTCTATGTCCCTGGTGATGATGATGATGACGACGACGACGGTGATGATGATGATGATTATTATTATTAAAGTTGTGATTGATAAAGATCGTGGCTGTGATATCGCCGGTGATGATAATGATGCTGATGAAGACGTGAGGACGATCCACAGTCAAATATTTTAATGTTTCGAAGTTGTAGCAGCAGCAGTGAATCCAGTACACTAGGGTACCTTAGTTCAGGGGGAGGGCTAACCCTGACCCTGCCATCAACATCATTAACATAACCACCCTAAAAAATCCCCCCTAAAAAAGAACAGACCCGCGGTCGGTGAGGACAACTGATCCAGACTTGCTGTCTAGCAGCCCACCCAGGCACTCCAATGTCTCGTGTGTCGCCAGGTTTATCTCATCTAACAACACCCACTCGCCTTTCAAGATGGCCTCCACCAAAGTTCCCTGACGATTGTGGTAGTGTGAAGGTGGTGGTGATGATGTGATGATGATGATGTGGTGGTGATGATGATGATGTGATGGTGATGATGGTGGTGATGATGTGATGATGATGATGGTGGTGATGATTAAAATGATATAAATCCACCCGCTAATTTGAGAACTCAAATTTCAAAATTTCCAAAAACCTGCACAAATGAGAAGGCGGGGGCGTTGTCGACCTTTTGGATCAAGATCGCCAATTGGTCAAACCTCTCTTGGATTTTCAGCCAATCAGAACGCAGCTTGCACTGGGCTGGGGATGGACGGTGGTGAAAAAATTATAAAATCATAATTATATCGTTATAATATTATCATAATTATCATCGTCGTCCTTCTAATCATTATCAGCACCGTCATCATCATCATCCCCATCGTCATCATCATCATCATCCAACGTTTGTTAAGGGCAGCTATCAAGGGCTTCTTCGTCAATTCCAGTACCACATTCCAGTTCCTTTTTTTAAAATAATCCTGGATGGATGAATGAATGAATGAATGAATGAATGAATGAATGAATGAGTGAATGAATGAATGAATGAATGAATGAGTGAGTGAATGAATGAATGAGTGAATGAGTGAATGAATGAGTGAATGAATGAATGAATGAGTGAATTAGTGAATGAATGAATGAATGAGTGAATGAATGAATGAATGGAATGATGGAATGAATGAATGAATGAGTGAATGAATAAGTGAATGAATGAATGAATGAATGAATGAGTGAATGAATGAATGGATGAATGAATGAAACCATCTCTATCGACAGACCATTAGCTTACTAATCAATTCAAATAAATGTTAATTAATTAACATCATTCTACTAAAATAAAAACTACCAAATCATTCACTGTGAATTAAGTCAACCAATCAATCAACCAACCAATTAATCAACTATCCAACCAATCAACCATCCAACCAGCCAACCAACCAACGAACCATTCAACCAACCTAACCATCAACCAACCAAACCATCAACCATTCGACCAACCATCCAACCAACCATCCAACCAACCATCCAATCAACCAACCAACCAACCATTCAATCAACCAACCATTCAACCAACCAACCATCCAACCAATCAACCAGCCATTCAATCAACCAACCATCCAACCAACCAACCATCCATCCATCCAACCAACCAACCTGTACATGTGCAATGAACTGTGTATTTTCTTCTTCCTTGTACGTGCCAAGAAATACCGCCATAAACTGATCAACATAGGCCTTCATTGTAACTTTCAAGTCTACCGGCTTGTATCTGTCGGAATTTTTTAAAATGTTTTCACCCATTAGATTATAATTACCGTTTTATTTATTTATTTTTGAGTGAATTATGTACAAATGAATTGTTTATTTGTTTATTTATTCGTTCGTTCGTTCGTTCGTTCTTTCGTTCAATTGTCTAATAAAACATCCACTCATGTACTTAATTATAGAATTACTCATTCTTTCGTTCACTTTTCATTCATTCATTCATTAGTTCGTTCGTTCGTTCGTTCGTTCGTTCTAACCCTCCTAGCAAATCAGAGCTATCACTTTGCTGGTTCATGTTTATAACGTTCAACTTCACTCCTGATAATGATGGTGAAAATGAAGGTGGTGTAGATAATGATGGCAACGATGATGACGACAGGCAAAATGTTCAATCAACTAACTTATCAATCAAACCAACCAATCAACCAACTTATCAATCAAACCAACCAATCAATCAACTGATCAATCTATCAAACCAACCAATCAGCCAATCAATCAACTAACTCAAATTCTCAGCCAAAAACTGTACAACCGATGTTTTCCCTGTTCCAGTCTCGCCGACCAATAGGATGGCCTCATTATTTAGGACACACCCACAAATGCTCTCCAAGAGGCATGCAGCTTGTCTTGTGAAAGCGAAACCTCGAATCTCCGATCTAAAAATAGAAATAAAACAACAACATCAACAACAACATCAACAATAATATAAAAATGAATTCAATATAAAGAATAGTTCAAGGGTGGGCGAACTTTTTGCTGTGAGGGCCGCATTGGGATCTATTTTACCTTTAAAGGGCCGCATATGTACTTAAATAGCAAATATTTTCGACCCGGGGGGGAATTTTTTTAACATTTGTGGCCCCTTTTTTCTGGTCAAAATATGTCTGGCTGAAGACCTTTTTTTGGCGAACAAGGCCTCGCGGGCCGCTTAGCTTTGCGGGCCGTAGGGTGTCATAAAAATGTTAAAAATAACCGACCAATAAGAGAAGAAGAGTTATAAATAGCCCCAAATCTAAAAATAACTGACCTATCAGAGAAGAGCTTGACCCTTGGTGACCTCGACAATTCAAACCGACCTACTTTCAGTATATTTTCTGCCAACACTATCTCTGGCATGTATCTTAGGCAGCGATGTTCAGCCTGTGTTGATGATGATGATGATGGTGGAAGTAGTGATGATAATGATGGTGATGGTAGTAGTGATGATGATGATAGTAGTAGTGATGATGATGATGATAGTGATGATGATGGCGACGAAGAAGATAATTAAACAATCAATCAACAATCTGTATTAAAAAACCAACCAACCAACCAATCAACCAACCAACCAATCAATCAACCAACCAATCAATCAACCAACCAGCCAACCAACCAATCAAACCTCAAACTCGGGAATTCCCAAATTCCCAGCGATATTTTTAGCAGCTGGGACTCTGTCGACTTTCTCGGATTTGGAATTTGCGAAGCAATCAAGCGCTTCACAAAACGCAACGTCATTGGTCAATTGATTATTATTATTATTATTATTATTATTATTATTATTATTATTATTAATATTGTTGTTGTTGCTATTTTTGGGAGAGGCCATTCGGTAGCACCATTTCAACATATCCCTAGGTGAGTGAGAGTGAATAAATGAATGAATGTACGAATGAATGAATGAGCGGATGAATGAATGAGTAAACAAATGTATGAATTAATAAATAAACGAACAAATAAATGAGTGAACTAATGAATGAATATATTAAAAATCATAACGAATAACCACAACCAACAAACTGTCTCATTCATTCAACCATTCATTCACTCATACATTCTTTCATTCACTAATTCACCCACCCATCCATCCATTCATCCATCCATCCACCCACCCATCAAATTCAATAACCTCATAGTTAACGGTCTACCCCTATTTACATAAAATATGGGCAAATCATCATCAGCACCATCTATATTAATATTAGTAGTAGTAGTAGTAGTAGTAGTAGAAGTGGCAGCCGTAGCAGCAGTAGTAGTAGTGTTGTTGTTGATGTTGTTAAACACTTCAATGATTCTTTTGCAGCAGTTTTTAATGCTGGGAAACATTTCCTCCAAGACCTTAATGAATGAATTAATGAATGAATTAATTAATGAATGAATGAATGAATTAATTAATTAATTAAATAAATAAAAACGGAACGAACGGACAAATGAATAGCTGAACGATTGAATGAAAGACAGAGAGAGAAAGAGAGAGAGAAAGAGAGAGAGAGAATAAAACACAGAAATTGTAACCATTCTTAATTCTTCATCATTAAGTGGCATGATTGACAGCCTGAAAAAATGTTTACTGATGACGTCAAAGTGGGAGGAGCCAGAATGCAGTTTCGACCAATGGGCGCCCGTCTCTATGAGGCTTTTTTTAGAAAATGAAATTTTCATTTATTTAAATGCAAATAATTGTTATTAGAAAACTTTAAAAAAATGATTGGATTAATTGATTGAGTGAATGAATGATTGGATTGGTTGGTTGATTGACTTATTGAAAATGACTGAGATAATGTTTAATAAATTAAGTGTTTTACATTTAAAAAAAATAAGTTAATTAATTAATCATCAAATTAATAACTTGGAAAGTTTAAAATCAAACCTAGATGTGGCAAAAACCCTGAAGTTATTTTTAGCAACAACTTTGGAATTTCCCAAACCAGGAACCAATAGCGATCGAGTTTCCAATAAGGGCCCTAGGGCAGATAGAACATCAGGATTTGATTGGTCAATGTCTTCTAGCAGCAGCCAATCACCATCAAGCATGGCTTGTAGGATTGCACCATTGGTCCAATAAAATCGTCCGGGGGTTTCTGAGCAACAGTAATTTCCTAACATCGACTACAGTGAAAAAATTATTTGGTTTTTTTCAATTAAATAAAATAAATTAATAAATTGATCAATTATATAAATATTTACTTATTTATCCATTTATGCATTCATTCATCTTCCTATTCATTCATTCTTACAATTAAGCAAGTATACATTCAATCGATCAATCAACCAATCAGAACCTTGCTATCGACTTGATCACCCAGCTGAACCCTAACGAGCTTATTCCTTGTCTGATTGGCTAAAAATTTGACCAATCCCGTCTTTCCACAGCCAGATGGGCCCTCCAATAAGACTGCAGAGCCATTATTAATGGCTACAGATATGTATTCAAGGTTTTTGGTGACAGACGGAACGAGGATGAATGGATGGTCAGTTCCTTGTGATGGCTGGAATATCCAAGAAATGAAAAAAAACTAATTTATGAAATAATTAACAATATAAAAATAATATTTTAATTAATTCTACCTAAAACTAATTCATTTATTTATTTATATTAATTAAAATAACCTTATTTGATTTGTTGATTGAGAGTTTGGCTTGACCAAATTTTATGAAATCATCACCATCATCACTATCAACCATGATCATCATCTCTTCATCATTGCTATCATCATCATTATTTTTCTTCATATTATATTTATTATAGAAAGTAAATTTATAATTTATCAGTCATCTGAAAGAAATAAAAGATATGATTATTATAAGTGATTAATGTTTTATTCATGATTAGTTGATCGATTGGTTGGATCAGTCAGCTGATTGACAGCTGAGTGATTTACCATTATAATTTAATTTATTTAATTAATAAAATTAATCAATTAATTATTAAATAATTAATTATTAATATTAATGACATATTTATATTTGTATTAATTAATAAAATTAACAAAATTAACCCCACCTAAAATAAATCACAGAGGCAAGCTAAATAAAACAGCATGTACGATGAGCGATATTACAATGTAAACAACCAAAGAACCGAAAACACGAAAACAATAACTGGAAAAAAAAATTTATTTACGATGGTGTATGCATGCATGTATGCATGTATACATAACTGGAATTAATATAACGGCCTTTGCTCACTTTTTACGGTCGAACAAGGAGCTTACTTTCGTAGGGGAGCTGGAGGGTAATTTGTTATCGTTCGAGTCAAGGGTCGGGCTATTTGACATGCTTGGATTAATGGCTAACGAAATTTGCATGGATTTTAACGAGCAAGCTATATGAAATATTTACTTGACTTAATATGCTTAAGACATTGTAGTAATTCTATTTAATTTTATTAAATAAAATTATGAATTTATTAAAAAAAAATTAATATTATTTAGTTATTGTTGTTAATTTAAATATGAAAATTGCTTTTGGTCTGGTGAAATCGTGAAATCCGGTGTTTACTCATGAAATAAACAATATATTCATTTCACAATTATTTTTGTCAATATAAATAAAGAAATTGCTTTTGTCTGGTGAAATACAGTGGCCAAGTAAAGCCGTATGTTGGCTTAATCGAATTTTTTTTTATATATATACAATACTATCAACCAACCATCCAACCAATCAATCAACTAACCATTCATTCAATCAACTAATCAACCAACCAATCGACCAATCAATGAACCATATTTGAAAAATATTTACAAGGCTTGTTCAAACTCGAACAAACACTTTTCTGTACCGATCTACAAACAATTTTGAGATTTTAGTAAAGAAAGAAAAACACAATAGTTGCTTTTATTAAATCAAGAAATATCTAAGAATTATATAACCAAATTAAAAAAAACTAAAAACCAGTCAACATTTAATAAATAAATAGACATTATTAAAAAGATTGTTCAAAAAGGTAAAATTTAAGGCGACGACGAGAATAAAATGTAGTTTGTTTTGTTGGTTTGAGATTGTGAAGCGAAAACAAACACATCACAAAAAACTAGTAAGAAGTTGCAAGAATAGTCGTCAGTCACCTACCTACAATTAAATTACTCTCAGGGCCCTAGCTTACTTATAAACATTGACTCAACTCACTTACCTAAAAATTTGTATTTCTCGTTTTAGATGTTTCAGGTATTTTATTTTACATATTTTAGCGTTTTTATTTTACATGAAACTTTAACTAATGTTAAGCCCTAGCCTACCTACGATTGTTCAACTCATCTCAGTCCCTAACTTACCTATAAATTAAATTAAGTCCGATAAAGAAAATAGATATTTAAAGAGAAACATAACAACGACACCGAATGAATGGATGTTGTGTATGTGTGTGTTGTATTGATGTGTGTGTGTGTGTGTAAACGTGTACTCTCCAGTAACTTCTTCACTCACAACGGACGAACCTCCATTGCACCGACCATCATCTGACACGCATCGATGGAATGAATTTGACCGGATACTGAAAAACACTACATTGAAAAAAAAATTAATTCATTAAAATAAAAAACAAGCCATTGGAAAAAATAGGCAACTTATCTTACTGATTTCAACTCAATGGTACGATGGGACAAAACAAATTTTCCTTTAATATTATCTTCGAATTTTCATCTGAACGATCATCATGAGACCACCATCTGAAACGTGCTGACGCCCACCACTGCCCACCTCTCATCATTCTGTAGACAAGTTTTTTTTTAATTAGCGTAGTAGTAAATCAAGGAACAAATGAACGAACAAATGGTTAGTTAAATGATTGAACGATTGGTTGAATAAATGAATTAATTAATTAATTAATCAATCAATGATTTAATGAATGAATAGAATGAATCAATTAATGGAGGAATAATTTGAAAGATAGTGATAAAATGGATTATTGAATGAGAAAAATAAAAAAAAGAAACTAAACCATAATTCAAAAACCGTCGTTGTTGTTTTCTTCGAATTGTCATCTGAACGATCATCATGAGAACACCATCTGAAACGTGCTGACGCCCACCACTGCCCACCTCTCATCATTCTGTAGACAAGTTTTTTTATTAGCGTATTAGTAAATCAAGGAACAAAGGAACGAACGAATAAATGATTAACTGAATGATTAAATAATTAGTTAAAAGAATGAATAGAATGAATTAACGTCAATTAATGGAAGAATAATTTGAAAGATTGAGTGAAAAAATGAATGAATGAGAAAAATAAAAAAAAGAAACTAAACCTTACTTCAAAAACCGTCGTTACTGTACTCCATTGCACCGACCACCACATTCAGGTCGGCACACAAGATTTCATCCGAACTTTTGAATGTCAGTCGAACAGCCAACGAGCTGATTCTTCCTACACCACCATCACGAGACCACCATTTGAAACGTGCTGACTCCCACCACTGCCCATCTCTCATCAATCTGTAGACAAATTTTTTTATTAGCGTAGTAGTAAATGAATGTTAGAATCTTAGAAGAAAATATTATAAAATAAAAATAACGGCAAATAAATAATATCTTAAAATAATAAAGAGAGTAAAATTTAAAAAAACTTACCGTCGTCCATTCGACAAAGGCAGAATGTTAAATGCGGTCCGGTTCCTGCGTTGTCCTCCAAAAATGGTGCCAGTCCTCCTCGAGATTGTTGTTGAAACACAGCCCGTGTTGATGGAGAAAGATAAAGAGAAGATTCTTATCAGAAAGCTTAGCGGTGCCTGCATCTCAAATTGCTTAATAAAAATAATCCTATCTACCTATTCAATTACCTTAACTAATCAACATTAAATTGCTAATGGTACGATAGTCGAAAGGTCCCCTTCATTCTCCCTCCTTGCACAGAGGTTCACCGACAGCCAGGGCACCGGATAGTAAACCATTGCCGTGCGGATAGTAGACTATTGCCGTGCGGATAGTAAACCATTTGCCGTCCGGAAGCCGTGCGGGTAGTAGACTATGGCCATGCCGCATAGTAAATCATTACCGTGCAGATAGTAAACCATTGCCGTCCGGATAGTAAACCATTGCCGGTACACCACTGACCACCAAGGCTTACCTCTGACAACGGACTTTGAAATTCAGGGTCTATCGGCTATCGTACCCTCAACTTACCTATTCATTACAATTAAGCCCTAGCTTACCTAAAAATTACAAAACTCAAGAGCCCAATTCATTGGCCAATCGGCACCCACCCCACCACCTACGTAATGCCTTGGGCTCCAACTTAGTAATAATAATATAAAACTTAAACCCTAAATCTATTAATGAGTATGTGTTACAACGTAGCCTTAACTTACCTATTCATTACATTATGGTCCTAGCTTACCTAAAATTACAAAACTCAAGAGCCCAATTCATTGGCCTTTCGGCACCCACCCCACCACCTACGTAATGCCTTGGGCTCCAACATAATAATAATATAAAACTTAATAATTAACCTACCTATCGATACACTTACAGCGTTTTAATTTACATTACAAGATTGCTCCTAGAATTACATTATTGCCCTTAACTACCTATGAAATTAAATTACTCTCAACCTTAGTAATAATAAATTAGAATGTGTAATGAAAATAAAATTACTCTCAAATACTAACATATGTGTTTATGTATGTACTTGTGTGTGTGTGTGTGTGTGTAATACGCTGATGCGTGTAATGTGGGTGCAAGAAAAAATAAAAGCGATAAACTTACGCGCCTACCTATTCAGCTACATTAGTGTTGGATGCTTCCTATCCATCCTACCTACAGTTAAAATTATGCCTATCTAACTTACCTATATAGCTACTTAATGTAATTGTGTGTGTGTGCGTGTGAGCATTCTTACTTAATGTTAAATTACAGAGAAAAACAGAAAAAAAAGAATAAAACGTATCCCAGCCAAACGTGTATTCTTTGCCACTGAATGAATGAACGTAGCCTGACATCTTCCAAGATGAACTCCTCTTGAAGCTTCAACCTGAATGAAATGAATAAAATGAAAAAATTAAATGAAAATAGACAAACGAGCCGCGGTGAAACCCGCCAGCAGGAAAAGCCAGCCAACTGGCAAAAAGAGGAACCGCAAAGAAACCTTAAAACGAACCCCAGCCAGGCGTG